GAAGACCGTAACGCTGACCACGCTTCAAGCGGAGGTGGGTCTGGTTCAGCAGGATCTTGGCACCATAGGCCAGGGAGAATGTGCAGTTGCACAGATCCTCACCCTCCTCCTCGTCAGAGAGGACTGCATCCTCAGCAGCGGCATCAGGAGAAGCACGCTTGCGGAGGGTCTCGGCAACAGACTTGGCTTCCTCCTCACCGACAATGGCGATGATGTAGGGGAGAGCGTTCTGAGTCCAGCTCTCAATCTCGCCGACCTTCTCGTCAACAAGCTGACCAGCGATGGCACCAACGTAGTTGATGACGGCCTCGGACTGCTTGATCTGCTCGTCAAACTTGGGGGAAAGGATCTCCTTGAGGATACCAGCAACGGTGGAGATGTCACCAGCGGTGGAGATCTCAGGGATCTTGCCATCCTTGACATCACCAACACGGCTGAGGGTGGCCAAGGCCTGTTCGGTCTTGCCACGAGCTTCAGGGTCGGGCAGGGTGTCAAGGTTGTGGGTAAGACGAGGCATCAACTTAGGCAAGAAAGGAGCGACGATCTGAGGGTCCTCGACAAGCTTACACATGTTGTCGACGATGACAGCAGACTTACGCTTGATGGCAGTCTCACGCTCGACAAGACCACGGTCAAGCAAGGGGACCATGATAGCGAGGGTAGGTCCAGTGACATCGGAAACGAAAGTGGTGGCACCGAGCAAGTGAACGGTCTCGGGGACGTTCTCAGGCTTGGAGATACACTTGATGAGCTCGGGAATGAAGCGCTCGATATCCTTGTTGACGATGAGACCGCAGACCTTCTCCATGGTGGAGTAAGCAGCCTTCTTAATTTCGGCCTTGGTATCCCACATGGCCTCGGAGACAGCAGGAATCAGGGCGGGGACACGGCAAGAGACCTGAGCGGGGGCGGTCTCAATGAGAGAGTTGAGGCACTCAAGAGCGCACAGCTTCTCAGTCCACTTCTGGGCGGACTCCAGAGACTCGAGGATAGGAGGAATGACGGCCTTGACCGCGTTGGCGTTGATGCCCTTGACAATGGCAATGGCAGCACTCTGAGCGGCGTCCTTGACGTTGGTCATCTTGTCACCAACGGCAGCGAGGACAGGGCGGAGAAGAGTCACGAGGTGAGGCTCAACACCGGGGGCGATGGTGGCGTGGGAAGCAACGGCCCGGATAGCGTCACAAGCGCGCTGGCGGGCATTGGCATCCTTCTTGTTAGAGAGCTGCTTCTTGAGATCTTCAGCGAGCCTAGGTTGCGTTAGTCAACTGATTCGAGAAAAAGATTTTTCTCTCGAAGTGGGGTGTCGACATACTTCAGGGGGAGGGCCTGTTCAGGGATAGGACCGCTAAGGAGGTGAGCAATGTTGTCGGTAGCGGCGTTAACCTCATCCTGCGTGGAGGAGATGTTGAGGTTCTTGAGCAAGTCCTCGAGGACAGAGAGAGACTGAGCGGTCTCCTTGCTGGAAACAGCAGGAACCGAAGAGGCAGCAGCAGCAGGCATTTTGGGCGTAAGAAAGTCGGAACTCGTAAATTCGAAAAAGAGGAAGAATGTGAAAGAGAAAAAAAGCAAGAACGGTCAAAAAGCGTTCTATTAGGGTATCTCGATAAGAGGTGACGGCCCACGAAAAACTGTGTCTTGACGAAGCAGACACAGAACACGCTCTAAACGGCCGAAGGGAAATCTAACTTTTTGATTTGTCTAAAAGACAAACGAGAAAAAAAACAAAAGTTTTCACAAAAGAGAGGACCAGACCTCTTTGAAGGAGATAGGAGGGGATATGGTAAGAGGAGAGAGGAGGAGGGGGAAAAAAGTGGATGGGGATGGATGATATTTATCGGTTTGTGGACTACTTTTTCGCCGCCCAACCCTCCAAGAGAGGCAACCCATTGCAAAATTTTTTTTCTTTTCTCCCACCGTCCCGCGCTAGACCCGGAACGGGGTTAGTGCCGATGGCTGTCGAAGCAACCAAGCCGATAGGGCCCGTGGCTGCGTTGGGATCAATCAGTGGCTGATGATTGGTCCACTGGTGGGATAGGCAAAGCCGTCGTCTCGCCCGACCAGAGAGTTTTCTGGTTTTTTGGTCTCGCCAATTTAGGCGGACAACCCGAGGATGCGACAAAAGAACCCTGGGAATTAAATCTTGACGGTTATGAATAAGATTCCGAAGAAACCCTCGGGGTTTGCCTTGAAGGAAAGGCCAATGATTGATAGGCGTCGCGGATTCGCTAAATAATTTTCGGCCTGAGGCGACTAAAATACTACTGTGTACTCGTGGTACTAGTACTAGTGACTACTAGTTACTATGAGGAAGCCGTTGTGTCCGCCAGTTGGCCGCATTGCAACTACAACATTATTCGGGCAAGGGCAAATGGGCAACATGGTTCGCGTTCTCTGATAGCAAGGTCGTCAGCTCCTTTGACAAGGGATTTTGTACTCTGTAGTGAAAATCCTTGAATCCTTTTTCCTGATCAATATCTACTAGGAATCACAGGCGGCTACAGAATTACGACGGCAGGCTGAATGGCATCCCTCCGCCCTCCAACTAAGCCTACAGGCGGTAGGATAGCGTGCATCCCTTGATTATCCTTAGCGGGATAGGCTAATGTATTTCAGTCCCTGACAGGGCATGAATCCGGGGATGCAACACTGGCTAATCCACCACGATTAGTGTCCGTTCCCGAATGTGTTGGGCCTGCAGATGCTGGTGCTATTTCTGTCGCCACCCTCAGATCGCTCCCCCCAGACTTTAGGTGGCGCAGCCGAGTTTCTAGACATTCGAAGCCTTCTTTGGGTCAAAACAAAAAATAAAAATAAAAATAAAAATAAAAAAAAGGAGAACTAAATACGAGGAAACACAAGACGTTTAGAGTTGACCAGAGCCATGGACTATTGACAGCCTTCGCCGTACTCTTCCGTCATCTCAAACCTGCTGCAGGTTATGTATGGATGGCTGAGCTGATATTGAATTGTCCCAACTCAGCGTTTGCTACGTTGGCATACATACTAGTTGTACATCACAATGATTTGTGTCATTCAGGCCGCCGTAAGCGACTAGATAATAGGTTGAACAACTGTCTGGTTCATGTTCTCATAAGCACAAGCAGCAATATCTTCCAGCGGTCTATATCTTTTTTTTCCCCGCCGAATTGGGACCTACAGTAGATGACCGACTGAAAGGGGGATGTTAGGAGTACTTCAGAGATGGAATGTTCTACGACACGGAGCCCGGATGATACTTCTTTGACAAAAAGATAAACAAAGCATACAGGGATACATTCGGGGGTCGACAAGTCGACCGCTTACTCGTCGCAACTCAACGGCTGAAACGATGGCTTACAGGTTGCAGCCAAGTAAGACGACGCATCACCGCTAATTTGAATGAGAGTTAAATCACACCGCTGAATGCGTGCTTTCATCCTGGCAGGTTATATTCTGCGTTAATGCCTGTGATATGTACACGGGGGAAGGGCGTATGCAAGACTATGCAGCATTGATGATCTGTCGAACTCCAGACGGAGAAATGATAAAGTCAAAAAAAACCCTTATCGTCAGTATCCCTTATCGACCATCGAATTTTGACTTTTTTTCGTCCCATCCTTCACACTTAAGTTCAAATCTCCGGATTTTTCCCATTCCTTATCCTTATCCCCCGCGAAAACCTCGGAGATGAGTGGCAATGAGAAACAAAAGGGGAATGTGAATAAAAAAATTTCTTCCTCCTGTGAAAGTAAAATTTTATGAGCTAATAAAACCACCCAGCGAATCATTTCTTTGACCCATAAATTCACTGTTGAAAAGTTTTACATTACTACTATTTTTCTTTTCTTTTTAGCCAAGGTTTAATCGAATCACCCTTGCTTGTGATTCATACTAGACAACGTAATCAAAATTATCCCGTCACCATATGTTGCATGGTTGAAGTGCCATCCTTCCATAGTCGTTCTAGACAGTTCCTCAGGAAGAAGAAGAAGAATGATAATAATTATTATTATCTTTTTTCCTTACCCCTATAATCCATGCTGTTTTAGTGATCCAGCATTTACTCTTCTAATGCTAACCACCAAATGACAAGTTATTCAATGATTACAAGCAGTGTCATACTCGTAGTATTGCCTAACCCAGGTTGCCACTTGACACCAACCCACCAATCAATCTTATTCAAATGGAATTTTCCCACGGGATAGCCAATACTAGTACGTACTTCAATGAAAAAAGAAACCGAAGCTCGTCAGTCCTGTCCGCCAAGTGTAGTTGTACTTTGTGCATGTCTACACCAATATTACCTTTTTCGCACTACGTAGCTACCGACAGCACATGAATTCGCCACTTCTGTCATCGCAAGCTTAAGAGGTTCAACCTCTTATCCGCTTTTTCCCTTATCCGACAGCTTCCTAACTTCTCAAGAACCGTCTACTACCACGTTCACGGTATAGGGAGGCTATCGGGTCATACCATCCGGGGACACTACTCGGTATTTCATCGGCTCAAGCCCGTAAAACCTAAAGTGCAAAATAATTCAACGGCGTCATCTATCCCGTGATTATTCTTCAAAGTTGTCAACAATTGAACATCCAACGCAGAGGATTCAAGTGTGGCGATATGGTATATTAAAGACCAATGGGGCTACTATATTTGATGTCATTGACCATGTGGTCTTTTCCTGATTCTCTGATGTTTTACTCTACGTTAAGCTCCCAGTCTTGTTCAAGTGGCGGGAATGAGTGTTTTTCTACATAGTAGACTGCCACATGGAGGCATGTGGCCATTATTTTGGCAACCAAGGAATGCGGCCGTACATTGTCTCTTACTGCTATATTGGTTCAGCTAAGGATAGGGACATGCATAAAACGAAAACGAAAAGCTTTGGTAAAACCAAACCAACACTAACAACCAGCGTCTGTTACAGATAAGATATTCTGTTCCTGGTCTTGTGGTCATGATAATGCAAAAGCAAAGTATCACTAGTGTTACCACATCGTTTGCCCCTTATAAGCCACCTAATCACTGGAAGAGGAGCTTGAACTCGAGCTAGAGCTCGAAGAACTGGACTTGCGCTTGTGGTGTTTCTTATCCTTCTTGTGCTTTTTATCCTTCTTGTGCTTCTTGTGACTGTTTCACAAAGTTAGCATACAGAATCTAATCGATACTCAGCAAATAACGATCATGTATGACAGACGTACGCTTTGCTGACTAGATTCGCGCCTGCAGCTCCAACCAATGCACCCCCTGCCGTACCCAGTAGTCCGCCCCCAAGCTTATGGCCAACGAAACCACCCCCAGCAGCACCAAGAATCGACGAACCAAGCCCTTTCTCTCCTTCCTGTCCCGCCGGGCCAGGGGCGTTTCCTGGGTGAGAAGCGTAACCCGACTGCGAGCTAGCGCCGTAATATGAAGCACTCTCACCCTGGTGAGATTGTTGCTGGGGTAGGGGGAGTGGCCACCGTCTTGCGGCGGGTTCATATACGAGCCTTGTCCGTGGCCATAGTCGCCAGGATAACCGCCTTGTTGGGGGCCGGCACCGTAGGGTGGGGGATAATTCTGCTGCTGGCCGTACGAGGGATATTGGGTATGAGGTTGCTGATCGTACGCAGGCTGAGATAAGTTGCAACATGAAAGTGTTAGTCGATAGTGAGAAGCCAAGAAATAGGTCCACTCTCATGCAGCGATAGCCGCAGTGGATGCATGGTCCCAAGAAGTACGTATAGGGAGGGAAGACAGCACTCAAGTTAGACATACTGTAGATTGATAGTAGCCTTGCTGCGGAGGCTGCCCATATTGGTTTTGTGCAGGGTAGTTCCCTGGCTGACCTCCATATGCGCCATACTGATTATTGCTATGTGGCGGTGCCCCATACTGATTGTATTGATGGCTACCGTACTGGTCAGACATGATGAGTAATGTTACGAGGTGTACAACAGTATGTGGACTGAAGCCAGGTATGCAAGCCAAGAGAGATAAATACAGAAGGGAAGTCGAAAGTCTTAAGTCAGACAATTATTGAGAATACTTTTCTACTTGGGAATGACAGCTGACAAGTGAGGGAAGGAACAATGTGGCTTCGCGGGGTAAAGGGGCTGTGTTAATTAAAGAACGACCCATACATTGCACAGAAACGGGAGTTTTTAAGTCGATCGATATCATATTAGAGAAGTTTGTGTATTTAGTAGATGCTAGGAAGTGCATCATAATGAGCATTCCTATAGCTTTCGAGGTTGACTGTCGATCGTATAATGTCTCTTTACCCTTGCCACAAAGACCCTTATACTTCGTACGTACGGAGCACTCTGATATTTGCTCCGTTCCGATATGAGAAACTGGGAGCCGTAACCGCACCTGATGAACTCCCACAAACCAGCTTCCCCAGTATGCATGTCTACAATAATAAAGAAATCATAGAGCGACGGCGTTATTGATTGCTAATCGGAGTGAAACAGGCCTGTAGTGATTGCTCGGGTTTCAGAGCTGGTCCGATTTGCCATTAAGCTAAATCCGGAACTTCCGATTTTCGCTACTTATCCAAGTGTACTCCGTCAATCAGAAATGCTAGCAATGCTACAATACTACTATATCTATTGTCTAATTCCCATCGACATCTAACAACATTCATTGTATCTAATTCAGGCTGATAAGACTTACAACTAGAATCTGGCCTCTCAAAAAAAATCGACACCTGTGACGACATTGCCAGGCTAGTACCTTTTATCGTTCTACATGTTTACCTATACTCAATCGTTGTTTACAAGACGCGCCTTGCTTTCCGGGAAGTCATACCTCACACAGCCATCGAATTATAGAGCGCTATCCTTCTCATCAAGAGTCATGTCTAAAAATGATTGGAGCGCCACTCAGTATCTGAAGTTCGAAGATGAGCGAACTATGCCGGCTCGCGACCTCCTTGCTCGGGTTCCTCTCCAAGCCCCAAGAAGAGTAGTTGATCTGGGCTGTGGACCGGGCAATTCAACCGCCGTTTTGGCGACTCGTTACCCTGATGCTCATATCGTGGGAATAGATTCATCACCTGACATGATCCAGAAAGCAAAGGCGTCTCTCCCAGCCTATGAGTTCAGGGTCGAAGATCTGCGGTCCTATTCTCCGCCTCCGTCAGTCGATCTTTTTTTTTCCAATGCTGTTTTCCAATGGCTGAAGAAGGAAGAGCGGATTGCAGTCATTAAGGGCCTAATGGAGACTCAGCCCTCTGGAGGAGTGTTTGCCTTTCAAGTGCCAGACAATCTGATGGAGCCCTCCCATGTCCTGATGAGGGAGGTTGCCACTAATGGTCCCTGGGCGGCCACTCTCAGCACTGTTGGCAGAGATACCTTTCAGTCACCACAGGAGATATATGATCAACTTAAGGATTTGTCTTCTGAGGTGAACATATTTAGAACTGAGTACTACCACTCACTTGAGGATCATAAAGCCATCGTGGAGTGGGTAAAGGGCACCGGGTTAAGACCTTATGTTGATCCATTGTCGCCGCGAGACAAGGAAGCGTTTTTGAGCGAGTATCTGAAACGGTTGGAGAGTGCGTATCCCAAGTTAATCGATGGTCGGGTTCTGCTACCCTATCCACGCTTGTTTGTCGTGGCGGTAAGGAAATGAAGTAAGTTTCCCCTAACTGACGACCGAGTCTATAATGCTTACCAGGTATGTTCTAGGATAAAGATGGGAGTGTTGCTCAGCAATCTCTATTTTATGAAAGCTATGTACCAAACATCAGTACGCATGCTAAATACAAGTATATTGTCAGAGGTGCTTCCTATTTAGAGGGTCAACATTACCTAGGCTACTCACCCGCCTAATCATTATATCGCTCGTCGGATTAAAGCTTTGTATGGAGCACTGCCGTAGGATCATGTTCAAATCTTTCATCTGGTCCAAGCAGCTTGGAAATGGAGACGCTGGAGGGGTATCAGGCTCCATCCAATTTATCGGACCACTTAAGGAGAGGATACAATTAATGGATATCCCCAAATCCCCTTGTTGACGGGAAAGAGTGGGAAGTCTAGAAATACCTGCAGTAATAGCAGCTTATAGTCTAAACGTGCAGCGATATCTGGAGGAGGCGGGCTTTTCCAGTTAATGTACGAACTGATGGCCATAATGCGACTGCCAACGGATCATCGGAGCGTGAACTTGGGACATAATGGTTACTGACTTCATATGAATAGGTGATCTTTTTCTGCTTCTGAACTGGCTGATGCTCGGTCAGGAGAGAGACAGGGCAGGGAGCTTTTCAGCCGCACCAGGTTACTTCATTTCTAGTGGGTAAGTATGCTGTACGTTGAGGTGTTCATATAGGGCGATTTAAAATGATCATAGAAGAGAAGATTTTGTGATAATTGGTATGGTCCTGACCACACAAGAAATTATGGTATCTGGTAGAAATACACTCGATTCACAATCGACAAGGCCCAGTCGTTCTCTCTCAGGTTGCCCCTTCGTGTCTGCAACTTTGACTATTATTGATCAGGGAATAGGATATGTTTGATTACAGATTTTCCAGGGTGTTGATTAACCCTGCACAATTCATGTTGCTAAATATCGTATTTACACCAGAGGTGTTGTCATACCTTCATTCGATGAATAATCGTGGTGTTTGGAATTAAGAAGACCTCAAGTCTATGCCTAACGGTCACGCTTTCTGGATAATTTGTCAGACAGCATGCGCGAATGTCTTTCGGATGGGTTTCTGGATGACCTTTTGGATTTGACATCAAAATCGAGGAGGTCATGTGGGCGGTTGCTTCTTTGCTCGTTGATTATATGTTTGGGTTCTAATCCCAATTCAAAGGGCGTCTCCCGGAATGGCTTGCGGCCTCTGTCCCGTATTCCACCAGGAAGCAAACCAGTTGGCGTCGTAGTCACCTTTCCTTGTTCATCAACGTCCTCAAATATTTCAGGTCCGCCGGGAATACCTAGCCTAAGCGTCGGCTTGGCCGGGTCCCATGTGAAGGTGTGCTTTTTAGCAGCCCCGTCGAACTCCATGTGTGGGATCAGGCACAGTGTGCGTCTCCAAATCCTTTGCATAAATCGTCGCGTTATGACATGAGGGCGTCCTTTGGAGTAAGGCTTGAATGTCGGGCCTTTTACAGGACCATCTTTTAATAGTGTTCTTAGATAACTGCGGGTTAATCGCCTAATCTTCTTTTGTCTTTCGGAAAGGTTCACTGGTACCCTCCATTCGGGTGGGTTCCATGGCATTTCTCCTGAAACCAATCCTTTCAAGATGCCTAGGTCGGGGTCAGGTAGTGGCGGAAGGAGGTGGTCGAGGACATCAGTATACCAATCCTTCCGTATATTTCTCCTTCGTGACTTGGCCACTCCATCTCCCCAGATGCACTTCTTCGGTATAGGTGGCTCAAGGTGTTTCACTTGGCGAATGTTTAGTTGCGAGAGAATCCCGTTGTTCTGCTGAGACTTCAGAAGCTCTTTCACGATTGATGGGGGCTCCCAGCCATCTTCATATTTTTCGGGTTGTTGAAGGGCCTCTTCCACAGCTGTATTATTTGCAGGAACATCGGGGGCAATTAAAGCGCTCAGTAATTCCTTCCTCCGTCTCCCTTTTCGTCCGTACGCCATTCGGATGACTTTTTCGAGTGGTTTGGAATACCCTGCGTTCGCTCGCTTCAGTAATGATAGGGTATCCTTTACTTCATTAAAGAGAATAATCTGCCGCTCGGCATTCCATCTGATCCATGGACGTCTTTCTTCTATCACGTAACGTCGAAATCTTTGAACAACAAAGTCATGCAGATTACATTTCGCAACGGGGTCTGGTAGGTAAGAACATTGGCGAAGTAAGGCACGAAAATAATGACGCCATGAATGCTGTTTCCATGGATTGACGAGAGCTAGTTTCGCAGCTGCGACGGCCTCCTTCCTCCCCATGTTGTAGGTCGACGATGTGCATGAGCTCGGAAGAACTTTGACTGTCCGAGGCGGAACTTAGGAAATAACATGACTCGACGGTTGTTAACGCGAAAACCAAAAACGCTAAACCCAAAACGCGACTGAGTAGCCACCCCGCGACTTTCTCTTCGTTCTCGGGGCTTGCATGATTAGTTCAAGACGGAACTAAGTGAAGAAGACTAATTTTTGATTCCTTTTATACAATTATTTAACCTTCTTGGTGGGTGATACTGTCTTCTTGAACGGGAAGTCGTCTACGTTCGGGTCCAGCTGTACTATCCCTTTCGCGACCGGTGCGCTAAACCACGCGCCTCTTCGCCTCTTCGCGCGAATCCGGTCGATCCTTAGGATAGGTGCATTTCCCCACATGCCTTGACTCCCTCGCTCTGCTTTTTTATTTTATTTATTTATTTATTTTATTTTTTTTTGCCAGGCAAATAGTTGTTATGCTATTTCATTCGACGAAGCTGAGACTCATAAGGATCTAACCGTCGTCAGATATATGTGTACGGTGCCTGGGCTGGGGGCTCCAATACCGAAGTTAAACAAGTTCAATGGCTTCCAACAATCACCACCCACCGCGTCCAAGCCTACCCATGTCATATTCTCAAAGTAGCATTGGGTCTGCCAATGGGATGTCATTTTCGCAATCGCAACTTGGCTCTTTCAATGCTTCCCAGTCCGTGGCAACAACACCTCGAGGTACACCCCCTCCGAAAGGATCGCAACAGTCGGCAATGTCTTTTACCTATTCGAATGGCCTACCTCATGGAGCGCGAGGTAGTTTCAACGGCTTTGAAGATATGAATGGTTATGGGGCAATGGTGACATATCAAGAGGAGATCAAGCCTCAAATCTACAGAGTATGTTCTATCCTATCTTTGTGTGACCGCGCGCGGTCTTTACTGTTTGAGGCCCATTCCATGTTGACGCTCTCTGTTCTCATATAGGCAGTTTATTCCAATGTCTCTGTCTACGAAATGGAAGTTAATGGAGTCGCTGTTATGAAGCGTCGTTCGGACTCTTGGTTAAATGCCACCCAGATCCTCAAAGTTGCCGGCGTTGTCAAGGCAAGAAGAACGAAGACGCTCGAAAAGGAAATAGCTGCTGGTGAACATGAGAAGGTTCAGGGAGGCTATGGTAAATACCAAGGCACATGGGTGAACTATCAGAGGGGCGTGGAACTTTGTCGCGAATACCACGTCGAGGAAATGCTAAGGCCTCTTCTTGAATACGACATGGGTCCCAACGGCACCACTGGTTCGGCGCAGGACTCTTTAGATACCCCCACGAAGGAACAAGCGATGGCTGCGCAGAGAAAACGGCTCTACAGCGGCATGGATAATCGTAATATGTCTCAACCACAACAGGGTACTTTCTTCCAGAACATTTCTCGCACCGCTGCTACAGCGGTCAACGCTATGAGTAAAGCTCGCTTTGATTCTCCTGCAGCAAGAGGCATCGATGGCAGGCGATCAAGTGCCATACGGAAACCTTCGAATCAGACGGGCAGTCAAGAATCGCAGCTTCCTTTCGCCAGTCAACAGAGCATGTACAGTATGGCATCCGACAACGGATTCGGAAATAACATCCACCACAATGGCCGACACCCTCATGATACCTCAGCATTTGATCACGATGAGTTTGTTGAACCTCCTCGCAAGCGCGTACGGTCTTCTTCCAACCATGCACATTCATTCGGACTCCAATATGAGCCTTCGACGTTGTCGATGACTGAAGCAACCCCAACCGAACCAAATGATTCCTTTTATCAAGATATGGATATGTCGACTTCTATGGTTGATGGTAACAAGCGCGGCGTTGAACCTCTTCCTCCAGCGACAACCCCTGAAAGATTCCAAAAGATGAAGCTTATTATGACCTTGTTCCTCGATAAACGGACCAAAGATTTCTCTAATCATCCTGCCTTGATGCAGCTAACTGGTTACGACTTGGAGACTCCGCTCGATGAATATCGGAACAATGCTCTGCACTGGGCAGCAATGCTTGCTCGTATGCCCCTTGTTCATGCGCTTGTCGAGAAAGGCGTTAGCATATTCCGACTTAATGGCGCAGGTGAAACCGCATTACAGAAATCTGTAGGAACAAGAAACAATTATGACTATAGAAGCTTCCCACGTTTGCTGCAGGTTCTTGCTCCAACGATTGACATGGTTGATTATAGTGGGCGAACGATCCTTCACCATATCGCCGTAATGGCTGCAACAGGCGGCGGCGGCCATGTGTCAGCGAAGCATTATTTGGAGGGTTTACTGGAATTCATAGTCCGACATGGAGGTAGCTCGCTGGGCCGACAAACCCCGAATGGGCTCGAAAATGGAGCAAACGTTGAACAACCCGGTGAGGTTATAACGCTTGGTCGATTTATTTCAGAAATCGTGAATCTCCGCGATGATCAAGGTGACACAGCATTGAATCTAGCGGGGCGTGCACGTTCTGTGCTTGTGCCGCAGTTGTTGGAAGTGGGTGCAGACCCTCACATACCAAATCATACTGGCCTTCGGCCTGCGGACTATGGCGTGGGTGTAGATATGGTTGATGGAAATTCGCAATCTCAGCAATCCGGAACCAAAAATGATTCCTTTATGGACCAACTAGCCAAAACTAAGAAGGAAATTCTCGATGGTAAGAAGGCAACTACATTGATCGTCATAAAGATCTGGAACCACTGACACTTTGTGCAGCAACACTGGCCCAAATTAGCACGATAGTTCAGGAAACACTAGGAGGTCTTGACAAAGAACTGGCCACGAATCTCGCTAAAAAACACGAGAAGTTTGAGCATTGGCATTCAAAAATCCGCGAGTCGGCGAAGGCTCGGCAAATTGAACAGAAACAACTTGACGAGCTTAGGCGCAAAGCCTCAGAT